TTTCGGACAATTGAACCTTCTCAAACAGTTTCTTTTTAAGAACTTTGTTTTCTCTCGAGATTTCCCTTGATTCCCTTGATTGATTATTTATCGTTTTTTCTTTTTTCTTTTTTCTTTTTTCGTTAGGTTTCATGGAGATACGCAACTTCATAGGCTTCGGGGAAAATTTTGAAAAAACAAAATTTGTAAGCATGGGATTTGATGATAAGTAAATTTATCATCCGTGGGTAAGTTGTCATGAACATGTATTGTCGTAACTTTCACTTAGTTCATAACGGTTCAGATTCTCATATATTTTAGTTACCAACTCTCATTTACTTGTTCATATTTTTATTTACTTTGGTTATTAACTGTCACTCCGTTCATAATTATTTAATATTGTTATAGCTATAGAAATGTTTGTATAGCATGGTTTGAGGCGTGGAGTCATTTTCATTTTGTATTTGACTAGAGTCAATTGAGATTAACTTTGCAGTGTGAGAGCGTGACAGATACACTTGTAAACACTTTTAGTTACCATGATTAGCTACCACGGTGGATATAAGTGAATTTCTTCTCTCTAAACCACGTAAATCTTTGTCTCAATGTTTAGTTTTTGTTTGTGGGTGTGTGAGTGTGTGAGTGCGATCAATCTTACTTCCGCTTCCGGTACAACAATTGGATATCAAATCACTAAGTTGTGTTACATTTGGGGTACAACAAGTAGAGAATGAATTGGTAGAAGTATATAGAATGAAGAGGAGTGTAAATAAGAGAGAGTGAATTAACAGTAGAGAGAGTTGGTCTTACAGTCAAAGAAAGCGCTGTCTCTGTCTCTATCTGTATCTCTATCTCTATGATTGTGTTGAAAAAGAAAGAACAGTAGTAGTAGTAGTAGTGATAGGTTAAAAAATGTGAGAAACCTGTCGGACCCGAACCCACGTGAAGTGTCACCACTCAGATGCTGCTGCTGCACTTTTATGCTTACTTTTGTTTCCCTATTCACTCACCAATTTACTTCCCTTTCTTTCTCTCTCGCATTCACTGCAAATGCACCCACACGCCCTATGCCTTCCTATCATTCCTATCCACTCACTCCCACAGTCCCCTCTCCCTCTCCCCTGCCCCCATCCCCCAATACCCACGCAGGGCTCATCTCCCATGATGAACCCAAACATGTTTGGTTCTAACAACAACACCCAAACTAATCACATTGCTTTACAACATCAGGAACAACATGAGGAGAATTTGTATCTACATTTCCCACATCCTTTTCTTGACCACGATGACCTGTTTTTAACCCACATTTTGTCGTCCCAACAGTTCTTCATTGGTGCGGATTGTTGGGGAGAACAAGAACAAGAACATGAACATGATCAGACAAAGCAAAACTCGGAGAAGCCGAGGATTGAAGTAGTGAAGAAGAAGAAGAAGAAGTGCAGTGGTAATAGAAAAAATGGAAGCTCCAGAAAGAAAACAGGGAAGAAGGACAGACATAGTAAGATCTACACAGCACAGGGCCCAAGAGACCGTAGAATAAGGCTGTCCCTTCAAATTGCGAGGAAATTCTTCGACCTTCAAGACATGCTAGGCTTTGACAAAGCTAGCAACACCATTGAGTGGCTTCTCTCTAACTCAACCTCCGCAATTAAGGATCTCCAACACAGCTTAGCCAACAACAGCGGGCATAGGTATGGCAGTGTGTGTTGTGGGTCGACCGAGGCCGTGTCAGAGATGATTAGGGATAATAATGGCGGTGGCGGAGCTGCAAAAGAAGCTGCTTTTATGGCCACTCCCAAACACAAACAGAGCAGGGCATTACGTAGGGTAGGCAGAGAGTCGAGGGATAGGGCAAGAGCTAGGGCAAGGCAAAGAACAATGTTGAAAAAAACAAAACAACCCATTTCCAATCTCCAAGATGTGAGCTCAGTTGTTGCGATTTCTGATGATCTCTGGGATTTTGCATCAATCCAAAGTATTTTGTGAGGTAATCATAATTCCCCATCGCAAAACCCTGATTCTTCAACACTTGCTTGCCCTAATTGCCCTAATCTTAAATAAATAACCCTAATTCAAAGGGTGTGATATTATTATCCAGATCTACCTTCTCCCACCTGTTTCATATCATCATAAGCCAACACTAGTTTAATTAAAGTGGATTTCTTTCATTTTTTGTTCATCAAATTCTGTACTACCGTTTCATAAATTGTGTACAAAGCTGTTGTATTGTATTAAATTCAAAGTTTATCTGAAAAGTATGATGCTGCATATGGCTTGCGGTGTCTGGGCTTTGATGTAAGTATGTTCTACTTCAATTGCAGCGAAACAGCACAAAATGGGAAAAGAATGAATACACAGACACTCAAATCTTAGCCCTAACTGTGTGGGAAACTGAGACATAGGGTTGATACTTAATTTTCATTGCAATCAAACCCTATAATCATGTGGGAACTGATGTAAATCTTCCTTTTACATCAACTTTATTTCATTTGATTCATTTGTTGATTTAATTTTGTCTCAGTTTTGTTTTTATAATTTAACAATGATGTAAAAGGATAATATTTAGAAAAATCTAAAAAAATAATGAAAAATGGGGAAATCAGTCAAAGGTAAATTGGTCTTTTTGACCCACCTTTCCTAATTAGGGGTCTCAAAGAACCCTAGCCATTGAAGAGTGAGAGATGAAACGAAAAAGGAAAAAGGAAAATAGAGAAAATAAAAGAGGGGTTTTCAGATTCTTAGAGGGAGAAAGTTGAAATCTACTCCCGACCGCAATTTGGAGTCGAAATTTCGGTAGAGTTCCTTTACGAGACTTGTTGGGTTGTGAAAATATTATGAGTTTTTGAATCAAAACACTAATTGAAATTTGAAATAAATAAGCGTTAAAAGCAAACACTCTATCCTAACTTAAATGGAAGAAAATAAGTACAATTATCCTATGCATGTACCATAATCTCCAATTATGATGTGGTGGTCGTGCTTACACGAATATCTTGGCTTTACTTAAAATAGAAGTAGTATGTGGCTTCGGTATTTTAAGAAATAGTCAAGCCCCATTACTGAGGTTAAATGCAAATACATAATATCATGAATGAGATCTATTATAATAGTTTATTTTACTTATGCAGCTATCCTAAATGGGCTAATTGAATCTGTATTTATTGTTCTACACACGGTCTACATGTGTGAGTATGGACCCACACGTGTGAATGTCTTAAGGAATAAAAAACTAGCAAAAATTAAGGCTAAGAATCAAGAACTAAAAACCAAGGTTAGATGAAGAAAGACCTAAGTTCTCAATACTAAGAATCCATAACCTGAAAACTAAGGCCCTTGGGTTTTCCAAAACCAAGTTTAAGAACTCAAAACCCAAGACCTGGGTCCTTGGGCTAGATCATGACAAGAACTTAGAATTCAAGAATAGAACTTAATGGCCTAAGTTCTCCACCTTTAAATAGAGACGACTAAGAAAGAAAATTTTCAAAAATGAACCGAGGTAGGTAACCTTCTTCCCCACTCGATATCTCAAGGTACAATGCATCATTTTATGTGAGGCCAATTCCTATGCTCCATGATTGATAAGGCTACAAGTTTGGGGAAGAAATCAACCCTAAAGAACCACTATAGAAGGTTGATGATTGTAAGTTGTGGCGGAGGTAAGCGTTGGCAACAACTTCTTGTAGTTAAATGAAGAAGATGATGGCGTGGGCGATTTCAACTAAACTAGCCACACCATGGTTTACGTGACACAATCTTAATTAATCTTTCTCAAAGTTGAGGGAAAGTAACTTTGGGAAGGACTTGAACCGATCCCCTAGCGCACCCGAACAAGTAATAATCACTTTGGTCTTTTCATAAGAATTACTTATAGGAATCACTTGAAATTTACCTAGAGAGTTAATATTTCTCATAGTTCAGTGAATAGGAAGAGATTAGACTAAGAACCATACTCAAAAGAACCTAAAATAGACATTTTAATCCGGATTTACCTATTAAGACCCAATAGGGAGTAATTTAAGGAAATGACTCTCTTAATGACATCCCATTATAATGAAATTTTAAATTATAACCTAATATCACATGTTGAATTGAAAGAGTATAAGAGCATCTTTAGGGCATAAACTAATTATCAGGATAAAATGACTAAAATGCCCATTTATAATGTTTCATAGTTTAGAACTATAAGCTTATAAGCTTGTGAACCATGATTTATGCTCTAGGCTAAAGAGCCCAGCCAAGTAGGTTGGTTCCCATAAATGCACCATCTAAGTCTGACCCCTAGACTATTAGATACTACTCTATCAAGGCTCGCCTCATGTCTTAAGTCAATGTAGACCTCTCGATATGCGATACATCATGATCATATATTTTCTTCACTTTGGTGGAGTGGTCTATCCAAATATCCTTGTAGGATGTTAGAACCCAAATGGTGTCGTGGGGAGGTAGAGAATGTCGTAGAAACTATGGGCAAAATTGAGATTATGAAGCTCTTACTTTTTTTTTTCTTTCTACTTTAAAAATGAAAAATATTTTAACGCTTGTACATGGTAGTTCATAGCACAAATCTCTTGAAAAGTAGGTTGTTATTGTAGGGTGCAAGTAAAGCCGATTAACCTAATAAAACAGTCCAAATCAAACAAAATCATTAGCAATTCAATTTCGATTCAATTGATTGAAGTTGGATGATCATGATCGAAGAAGCAATGAAGATGTTAATGTAGTTGGTTGACAACAATTAGAAGAAGTTACATAAAAAATGAGAATAACATTTAATTGGCATGCAACCAACACCCACACCCTGCGCCTGAGTCGCATGCAACTACTTCATGTTTTATTGGCATGGGTGGTTCGTGAATGAACTAATCCGCGCTTATTATACCTTTTGATTAGTGCAATATCATTATCTTATGATTTCTTTACTATCAATAAGCAAGTAGTCCGTTCAAATCGAATTAAGTTGGGCTGTTAATGTGAATCTAAACATTTTAAAAAACTAATTTTAGGGCATTTTTGACCAGTTACCCAAACAAAATAGTCTCGACAGATTGGGTTGTTTCCCTCTTCCAAAAAAAGAATTGAGAATCTGAGGCCAAAGGTCTCGCCTCTAAAAACCTAAAACTCTACTGTCTCGCCCCTCATTGTGTTAGTTTATGTTCGAGTTTCTTAGATATGGCTTCAGATGCTGGTTCTAAGGCGACTTCTGCTGCCGATTCCTACCTTGGAAGCTTCATAACTTTGACTTCCAAGAGTGAAATTAGATACGAAGGCGTTCTGTACAACATCAACACGGAAGAGTCCAGTATTGGACTGAGAAACGGTATTTTTTTACATTATTTTTTCCGCAGTCCTTCTCAAGATTTGGGGCTGTGTCGCTTACCGCTTTTCTTTTTGGGTTATAACTTTCCTGATTTTGTCAATGCATGGACATTTCCATTTTTTATGGTTAGAGAATGAGATTTTTTTTTATGAAATTTCGTTTTGGTTTCATAATAACGAGGCTTTGAGTAGGTAATTGAGGGTTAACATTTGTGGCTTGAACTGACTTTGATATGCGATAATGCTCAAATTACCCTTGTTCTTAATTTTCTTTTTCTAGACAGTATTCTATTAGCCCAATAGCCTGGTCGAAAGTAAAAAGTTGTTTGTGCTTTATTTATGTATGAATTTATCATTTATCGTACCACTGATTTAATCTTCTCTTTCGAAATGCTTTCTTGTTCTCGGTTGATTAGTGCGGGCAAGATTTTAAACCACGATTTTCTGTATCTTTGTTTGCGGGCAATATTTTGTTGTCTTTGCAAGAATTGATTGTGAGTTATTATTACTCCCCTTGGGGAGTAGATTGTTCCTCATATCGGTCTTGAATTGAAATTCTTGAGAACCATGTACCACCAGAATGAAAATTTCTGGCATCTAAAAGGTTTTCTCTACTGTTTTCACATCTATACATCAAACACCAAGCTAATTTACTATTTATTCATTTTATTTGGGGTAGTGAGATCCTTTGGAACAGAAGGAAGAAAGAAGGATGGTCCCCAAGTCCCTCCAAGCGATAAATTTTTTGAGTACATCTTATTCCGTGGGAGTGATATCAAGGTATCAAATGCATTGAAAATTATGTTTGATATGATACTTTGGTCCTCTAGTTTTGTTTTTTTTTTAAGATAGGATCGGTAAATTCCCTGTTGTTTAGAGTGAATGGCAGATATCACGATTGGAGTTTCTGTCTCTTGCTGATTACCACTTGAATATCCGATTATGTGAGCCTGCTGGCTCAATGTGGTACTTCTGTTTTGTGCATGCTTATTCTTTTTTTACGGATTTCTTACTGCTTTCATTTTTTCATTTTCTTTTGATATTGTATGCTGAAGAGTCGAGATGGGACCTGGATTCATTTCCTTTCCAATGCTTTGATCAATAAGAAGCTCTTTTGTGCCCTTGGCAGGATTTGCAGGTTAAATGTTCTCCACCTGCTCAGCCGACAGCACCTATAAATAATGATCCAGCAATTATTCAAGTGCGTGTTTTTCTTTTTTAAAGAAGATTGTATTTTTTTTTTCTCTAATTTTTTAGTATATTAAGGCGTGTTAGCTTTTATTATGATTATTTTTCTTTTCGAAAGGATGTTGGCCTTATTCTTATTTGTGGCTTATGCAGTCTCACTACCCCGCCTCAGTTTCCCCATCTACCAGCATGCATTCTGTCGCCAGTGGGTCATTACCTGATCATACTTCCCACACGGCATTTGGATTCCCTCCGTCTAATTTTCAAGGTGGTTTGCCTCCGTATCAACCTGGAGGCAACTTGGGGTCATGGGCAGCTTCTCCTCCGCCTCCTCCTAGTTCAGATGGCAGTGGACTTGCCATGCCCTTGTATTGGCAAGGGTATTATGGCCCACCAAATGGGCTTCCTCAGTTACACCAGCAGTCGATAATACGTCCTCCTGGTCTATCAATACCTTCATCCATGCAACAGTCAATGCAGTATCTGGACATTAATGCATCTTTACCCATTGGAGCTTCAAAACAACCAGAAGCTCCGTCTTCCTTGCCCCCTGCTAGTAATAGTTCTCCTAACTTGACCTCCACTGCTCTGCCTCCAACTTTTTCATCAGCTTTGCCAATGTTCCCCTTTGTTTCTATTTCTGAAACGATACCAAGTTCAGTTGCTAATAAGACAAATGTTGCTACCCTTCCCGGATCCCCTGTCAGTGTTAGTTTGCCAGTAGGTCCGATACTGTCTTCATTTTCTACTTCAAGTGCGGATGTCAGTTCTGCCATACCGCCAATCACTAATGAACCCATTGCAGTTTCTGGTCCTTCATTACTGTATCAAAGTGCGTCCCAGTCAACTTCATCTGTAGTTGGAATATCTAACTCTCGCACAGAATCTTCTACACCTTCTCTAGTTACCCCTGGGCAGCTATTGCAGTCTGCGCCCACTGCTGTGGTTCCATCCCAATCTTCACATACAGTGCATAAGGATGTGGAAGTGGTCCAGTCATCATCGTTAAAACCTTCTATGCCAGTGACAACAGAGACTCAGCCACCAATATTACCACTACCTGTACAGTCAAGGCCTGTCCAGAAGGTGTTTTACTAGTTCATAAAATGCAAATGGTTATTTATTTATTTATTTTTTGTGTCTGATTTGTTAGTTTTCTGTTATCTCTTTAATTTTCCTCCTCTAGGTGTACCTTTGTGCACGATAGGTTCTTTGAGGTTTGTTGTTGAACTTATGATTGATTTCACGTTTAATTCTGATAGGCAGGTTGGAGTTCTAGATATGATAAGGCTTGTCTTTCAGAGGCCTCTTCTGTCGAAGTCTATGTTTTAGGAGATTACATTAGAATGAAGTGATCAAAAGTGACAACGTAAAGGGCAAAGGGACAAGGGGTCCCCACCCCAGGAAAGAGGCTACAAAACATTTCAAATTATTGCATTACATAGTAAATTAGTTATATACTTACGAACAGGGATTTGGTCATACTATCACTTGGGTTTTCTTGTAGAGGTCTTCTTAGTCAAAGTCTGTTTTAGGAGAGACTAACCACTTAAAATTATTGCATCACATAGTGAGTTTGTTATATATTTACCGACAGGGATTTGGTCATCCTATCACTTAAATTTTCTTCTAGAGGCCTTCTTAGTGAAAGTCTGTGTTTTAGGAGATTACTGAACATATTAATTATTGGATCAGTGAGTGATATATTTACCATTGCTTATTTCTGGTTTTTTAGTTTACAGCTGGAACTGCTACGTAAATCTTTTCCATTTCGTGAACAGTTGTATGTTATCGTATCTGATTAGTATCATATTTTCTTTATACCTTTATCCGAACTTAACTTCATTATTCATATGTTCAATTACACAACCATAGTTTTAGATAAGTGGAAATACAAATTGATGTCTCAATGGCTGCCTTTTTTTTTTTTTTTTTGTCCTTGTTAGTTTATGTTATGGAGACACTGATTTTTTTTCCCCTTTACACTGGGAATCAGTCAAATGGTGCTCATTTTCAGGCTCGGCATTTTTACAGAGGACGTGAAAGAGGAAGAGGCTCTGGGGTAATGTGTACGTTTTTTTTTAATAATAAACTAATAATTGGTGTAGACATCACTGATCAGTTCTAATCAGAGTTTAACAATGAATTACTTGATGTTAACATCTTTTTCTTTTGGTAATCAAAGGCTTTGTAGCATAGTCATTTGAGTAAATGCTGTTAGATGAACACGATTCTCCACAATGGTATGATATTGTCCACTTTGAGCATAAGCTCTCATGGCTTTGCTTTGGGCTTCCCCAAAAAGCCTCACACCAATAGAGTTAGTATTCCTCACTTATAAACCCATGATCGTTCCCTAAATTAGCCGATGTGGGACTTTCATCATCCAACACCTCCCCTCGAACAAAGCACGCCTCCCCTTAATCGAGGCTCGACTCCTTTAGAGTCTTAGTCATTTTTGACTGCCTTCGTACCTTCGAGGAGGCTTGACTCCTTTTTTCTTTTTTTTGGAGTCCTTTGTTCGACATTTAAGGATTTGCCAATCTATTGGCACGGCTAAGTTTAGGGCATGGCTCTGATACCATGTTAGACGAACACGACTCTCCACAATGGTATGATATTGTCCACTTTGAGCATAAGCTCTCATGGCTTTGCTTTGGGCTTCCCCAAAAGGCCTCACACCAATGGAGTTAGTATTCCTCACTTATAAACCCATGATCGTTCCCTAAATTAGCCGATGTGGGACTTTCATCATCCAACACCTCCCCTCGAACAAAGCACGCCTCCCCTTAATCGAGGCTCGACTCCTTTAGAGTCTTAGTCATTTTTGACTGCCTTCGTACCTTCGAGGAGGCTTGACTCCTTTTTTCTTTTTTTTGGAGTCCTTTGTTCGACATTCGAGGATTTGCCAATCTATTGGCACGGTTAAGTTTAGGGCATGACTTTGATACCATGTTAGACGAACACGACTCTCCACAATGGTATGATATTGTCCACTTTGAGCATAAGCTCTCATGGCTTTGCTTTGGAACACGACTCTCCACAATGGTATGATATTGTCCACTTTGAGCATAAGCTCTCATGGCTTTGCTTTGGGCTTCCCCAAAAGGCCTCACACCAATGGAGTTAGTATTCCTCACTTATAAACCCATGATCGTTCCCTAAATTAGCCAATGTGGGACTTTCATCATCCAACAAATACTACCCACACCCTCTTTGGTGGATCTCTGGATGTAGGCTGATGAGATCTAAAAGCTCATGGAAAACTATCTCTTCCAGTTTTTTATAAATACTCCATAGATGATGGCTTAGACAACTATTTTTGGTAGGGTTGTTGGGTGAGGGAGAAACTCCTTTGTATCATTCCCCCATCTGTGCCACCCTTTAGATTTGAGGTGGTAGTCAATGGCCTTTGTCATGCGGCATTTGGGTGAGTCTTCTATTATCTTTGGGTTCCATCCCTCTACGGATGGGGAATTGTTGGAGATTTCTACTTCTGCTTTTGTGGAATGTTCTTGCTGGTCAGAAAGGAGGGGCCTGTGTTCCGGACCCTCACCCTTACCAGGGTTTTTCTTAGCTCATGTTTTCACCTTGTGTGTTACTTTGCTCTCACCTTCATCTCTTCTTTTTCATCTCTCTAGAGAAGGTTAATTCTTTTTCCTTACTCTAGAAGGTTAAGATTCTTAGGAACATAAAGTTCTTTGCATGATAGGTCTTCGTGGGAAAGGTAATACTATAGACCGGGTGGAGACAGTTTTCTTTTTGGGGCCTTAGTTCCTTTTGTAGAGGTACGTCAGAGACCCTCAACACCTTATTGTTTGGAGCTCTAGTTTGCTCAAAGATTTGGACCCATTTTCTTGGAAACTTTCAAAGTCTCTCTAGTGCGGAAGAGGGATTGCAGGGCTGCTATGATGGGGGAGTTCTTTTTGTTTCTTCTTTGTTGGGAGATGGGCAAATTGCTATTGCAGGCTTGCTTTTGACTGTTATTTGGGGATTTTGACAGAGAGGAATCATAAAATTTTTTTAGAGAGAGGGGGAGTTGTGGTGAGGTCATTAGGTTTAATGCCTTTGTTTGGGCCTTGGCAACAATTTTCTTTACTTATCAGTTAAGACTTTGTTCTTAATTTCTCATTCATTTTGAGTGAATAAGATTTGGACTGGAATTAGATTGATTTGCTAGAATTCGAATTGAAACATCATAGATTGCCCTTTGAAAACGAACTTGGAAATTTGTCTGATTAAGGAAAAATATAAAAAACATGCTGAATATTAAAATAATTGAGATGAGGTGATTGATTAATGAGTAATGTATTCATTTTGTTGGATACATAACCTGAAAATACATCATTGTTGGGTTAATTTGTAGGTGTAAGTTGTATTTATGTTTGAGGTTGAACATCCGAATGATCCTAGAGTTCAACATTTTCACATTTTTTACATTGCAGAAGAGTTCCCGTCCTGTGACCAAATTTACCGAAGATTTTGATTTCATAGCAATGAACGAGAAATTTAACAAGGATGAAGTTTGGGGAAGTCTAGGTAAAGGGAGTAAATCTTATCTCAAGGATAAGGATGTGGATGGAACGGTTAGTGATGAGGATGACGCTCGGGAAGAAGACGAGGGTGAACTCTCACAGGCTGGGATCAAGGTGAGAACATCCTTTAAGTCTGAGTAATTGAAATTTAGGTGTAATCAAATGATGGATTCAAATATTTTTAAACCATGACATATTAGTTGTTATCCTTTGTCTGCAGCCCTTGTATAACAAGGATGACTTCTTTGATTCACTCTCTTATAACGCTATGGATAATGATCCTCAAAATGGTCGGACGAGATATTCAGAGCAAGTAAAGATAGACACAGAGGTAACTTTTCTTGTTGTTGTGCCTCTTACATTTAAAATTGCTGCATTTTATGTTTTCCTGACTGTTATTGCAGACTTTTGGCCACTTTTCGAGGTATCGGGGAGGCCGAGGTGGCCAAGGTCCTGGACGTGGAGGGTATTTTCGTGGAGGTTACCATGGAAGAGGATATGGCTATAATGGGAGGGGTTGGGGGCGGGGGCGAGGGAGAGGGCGGGGGCGATCATCATTTAATCATTCATAGTCCAACCGGTGTGTATCGGTCGGGCTCATATGGTATAAATGGCCCCATATTGATTTGAATCGAGAAAGGATATGTTCTTTTATAGAGTGCACCTCTCTCCCGGTTTGTTCCAAAATAATTAGATTGTTATTTTTTCTCCCCATTTTGATCATTGCCCTGTTTACCTTGTTTAAGAGTTGTTGGTTTAACAAAGAATTTGGTTTGTGGTGGAAGATTTAATTGTAAACCAAGTTGGGTTTTAATAATATACATGACATTAAGATCTTTTTTAAAATGTTAAAGGAAGCCTTAATCATTGTCATATTAGAACTAAGAAAGTTGTGGTGTAAGGCACTATCTTTTTGTTGTGAATCCAGAGTAATCAGATTAAAATATATTAAGCACATGAATAGAATTAATAGAGCATTATTTAATTTATCAAAACATAAGGCCAAAGGCTACATCAACCTTAGAATAAAATAATCTCTGTCATTCTTGGGCCAAACACTAAAAAAAAAAAAAAAAAAAAAAAAAAAAAAAAAAAAAAAAAAAAAAAAAAAAAAAAAAAAAAAAAAAAAAAAAAAAAAAAAAAAAAAAATCTTACATTTAAAAAACATCATAATTAAAACTATAAGATAAGACTACTTTATGTTGAAACTCTCTAAATTCTCCTCTGCCTCGTAAAAATTAAACCTAACATCAAACATATCATGTATGTAATGCATCGAAACATAAATCACGTACATACAACATGCATTACAACTTTCATCATACTCATACATCATCATGCTCACTCATACATCATCATAACATCATACATCCTCATACTCATCATACTCATCATACTCATCATACATCATCATACTCATCATACTCATCATACTCATCATACATCATCATACTCATACATCCTCGTAAATAAAGCTCCATGCAAACAATTCTAGCCTATTCTATTGTAAGACCACTTACTGAGTATTTTTCGGTCTATCCTATTGTAAGAGCACTTACTGAGTATTTTTCGAAATACTCAGGCCATATCATTTACTGGTAAATGCAAAGTGCCCATGTACGAATGATTGTGACATCACAAGTAGTACGGATGACTGTGACATCATAAGTAGAGACTATGACACTTGCATAGGGTAGTTGCATGTTTAAATTCCTAGTCTTAGGTTAGAATAGGACGTTTGCATTTCATTATTTAAATTATTTCATTTGCAATTTTTTTTGCTTTAATTTTAAGACAATGTTTTCTAGAATTTTGAAGTGTTCTGAATGTTTTTAAATTTTAAGTTAATTAAGAGATGAACATTTTAGAGTTATATCCCGCATTTAAAAGATGAGCATGAGACGTTAGTAACAATTCTGAGTATGTAGAAATTTAGGGTCATTACATGAGTCTTAAATGATAAAATTTATCTCTTAAAACAATGAAAACTCAAATAACTAGAACAATGAAATGCAACACATACATATATTTTACAGAGGACGGATTAAATTGATTTATAAAAAGATATTAAATATTTTATGATCCAGTTTTACATAAACTCATTCAATACCCTGTTCACGTATCTTCACACAAACGATTTGAATCAAATCATTTGTAGCAATTATAAGGTAGACTATGAATAATGTTACCATGTTAATGTACCAAACTTTATCCATATACTATAAGATCCTTTAGATTACTTTTTTGTCACACTTGATTTGATTTTCATTGAATTCTGGACCATGACTAAGAAGACAAGACAACGGTAAACTTAAAAAAAAAAAAAAAAAAAAAAAAAAAAAAAAAAAAAAAAAAAAAAAAAAAAAAAAAAAAAAAAAAAAAAAAAAAAAAGTGAAAAATACAGTAAAATTTCGAGCAAATGAAAATCATACAACATCATTGTCAAAATAAAAAAATCCAAAACGAACAAAATTCAAAATAAGTGTTATTCAAGTTATTTACAAATAGGGAAGAAGAATGAGATTAAAAGTATACAAATTACAACCCAAAAAAATACAAATTAGAATGATGCTTCCGGTCGACATTTATCTACGACAGCACATCTCCTAAGCACTCTCCCACCTCAACCAATAACATGTGATCATAAAATAAAAAAAAAAAAAAAAAAAAGAAAGGGATGAGTATAAAAATACTTTGTAAACAACCTACTTCTAGGCTTTTATCACATCCAATTCCTAGTAGGTTTCCACGAGTTTTTCTCTAGGCTCAAGGAAGTTTGGGCCTCCACATCTATGTGAGCTTCTGTGTAGGTTTCAAAGTTTCAGAAACAACTATCATGAGTCAACTATTTGTGTAGTCCCAAGTTCCTCTTTAAGACCAGTTTATCAAATCGCAGCCTCAACCTTAACTCGTTTCTTCACGCAATAGAAATACTCACCCTAACAACTACCCATGTAGACCCAAGTCCCATTTTCAAAATTGGTGTACAAAATTGCGACTTCAGCCTTAACCCATCCTACACACAATAGAAACATTCACCTTGAGACAACTACCTACCTGAGTAGTCCCAAGTCCCAATTCAAGACCGGTTTACAACCTTGATCAATTTCTCACGCAATAGAAACATTCACCTTAAGATAACTAACTACTTTTGTAGTCCTAAATCCCTCTTCTACATGCAATAGAAGAGCTAGCTACAATTGATTTCCATGGCGTCAGCCATGATTCCTCCAGACACATGATAATAAATCTAATCACCTTAGAGTTTCAAGTAACACTGTTCTTACCACTACTAAGCTTATTAGGCTTCTAAGTCATCCTTGTCGTAGAGGTTTACTAAGTTCTTAAAGTGTCTAGCCAATTTAGATCCCATCTCGTATTTTCAGGTCGCTCAACATTAGCTCTTTGGGGCTAGACCAATTTGTTGGGTGCACCTAAGTCTAGAACTGTGATCACCGCTCACAATCCTAAGGTACTTGATCTAGTAGAAATGTATTATCCTTGGTTAAAATGAGAATCACTCTAGCTCTAGCGCCTTAATCTTAACTGTTCACTCATGCATGCTTTACTTGGAAGATATTTCTATCAATCATCTAAAGCACAAAAAAACATATTCTAATCGTTCATGCATATTTTAACGTCCTAGTGATCCCTACAATTATTACTTTAAAAAGCCCGTGTGGCTAATTACCGAGATGAAGCGTACCTTTTCGAACTTGCTTTTCTGCATGTTGGAAGCTCCAAATTTTCTGAAAAAATTCACTGGTAGATCCTAATTCAAGTGAAGTTAAGGACGGTATCAAAATCAATATGTAAAATAGTTGAATTTGAGTTGAAATGAGTGAAAAAAAACTTCCCCACGTGCCCTACACATCCTAACACGCGGTTGGAGGCGTTTCCACGTGCGCAACCACGTAGAGAAGCCCACGCGCAGGTAGGTTCTTCGACAAGAGAGACTAAGTATAACTTAAATCTACTGACCCACTTATAGCCATGTAACTCTTGTACTGGTGCATCACAATCTATGTGAGAAAAAGGAAAGTAACATGAGTGAATATAAATATTTAGTAAGCAGCTTACTGGTACGCTCTCATTGATTTTTATTATTGACTAAAGACCACGTGACTATGTCATTGGCTGTCCAGAAATAACTTTGAGTCCTATAACTTTAGGCGAGCTTTGTAGGAAAGTGCATCCTCTTTAACTCTCAATCTCTCAATCTCCTGTAAAGACTCTTGATTGATTCGAGTTCACTCGGGAAAAGCCATCTTTTTCTCAACAATGTCTTTGCCATTTGATCCAATAGCGTTCCGTTAGATAGGAACATATTTGACCTCTTGCCAATTGATTCTGAGTAGTTTTATCGAGATCAGAAGCGAATTGACCAAAGATATCTTTTTTTTGTATTATTTCCAAAAAAGTTGAGTGTTTGGCCTTATTAAGGTCCTTATTGGACTGCTCACTCTCATCCCATAGTATCCTAGCCCTATTGGGACACTCATGGTCTCATGATGTCTCATAACTCAAGTTCCTTCGAGCATATGTATACCTATCTGAGTTATCTACGAGGGTTATAGAATTAATTGGTCAGCCATATGCTAAATTATTATCGACTCGTGTAACATATCCAAGTGTCATGCATCTCTGAGGTGTGATTCTCTAACTAGTTCCAACTAATGAGCTACTAGAGCGTTATAAAAAATATTATTCAATATTAGTTTACTAATAGAGTAATTAGTTTATGACTCTTCAATAGACCATTTAATGTCATCATAGTTTAGGAGGGGACAACAACCCTTAATTCTATAAACAAGTTCAGACCAAGGAAGAGTTGGAGATCACTTGACCTTCCCATATAAATTATATGCGTGACATATAATCTCTCGATCCTGGCTAATCCAACTATAGTAAACTATTAGGAAAGAATGTGGATCCCTACCATTGAGACAGGTTCACTAATAATGAGTTATTGACTCAACTCACGGGTATTTCTATAGTATGACATCATCATGCAACCCTTGCTATTCAAGACAAGTTCACTATTATGAATGAGTTGATGGCCCCTGACCATCCCACATGGCCATCTCTTCGTACATTAAGCTACTGAACACAGATTAACAACTGGCATAATCAAAATCTTTTACTGATTTAAGGATCACACTAAAGGATCTTTTGCATCCGTACTTTACTAATCAATCATGAACCATCTCTAATGGCCGAGTTCCTACTTTTAATTGAAGGGAAATAGAGCTTTTGGACTACTATTTCTATGCAATGGTCTTGATTCTGAGTGGAACTAAATTTCGCAGTCTAGCATACATCAAAGGACCTCTTACATCTTACTCATTACTAAACTCAGGATAAAGGTGGCCCACTCTACCCTATAATATTTAGAAGGTTATTTGCAACTAAGTATTCATAACTCAGGGTTCTTAGGCTAAGTCATGTGTGAACTCAAACATCAACTCATTACTAACTTATACATGCTTATCCAAGTCGATCCTACCTAGACAAGTCTACCTAAAACTAGACTACTGTTATACCAATTTGTTAGACCTAATTTTTAAAGCTTCGTATCTCGAGTCGTGACTAAAAAACCATAACAATTGTAAACTAATGAAGTAAAAAATATGGTAAAATTTAGTGTGAATTAAAGTCATATAACACTATAGTCAAAATCTAAAAAAAAATATATTATAAAATAGGCATTGAAGCTATTTATAAATCGGGAATGAGAATAAGATTCAAAATGTTTACAAATTGACAATTCATAAAAATACATACTAAAGCGACGCCCTAGGTCAACACCCTTTTGTGACTGTGCAGCTCCCAAACACTCACC